GCGTCAGCATGAATGTTCCAGTAAAGCCAATCGACAGCTGGTCAAAAGGAATCCGCCGTCGTCTTCTGGTTGAACCGTCCTTCGAATCTCTTCACCCAACACACTCAAAATGGAAGTAAGCTCAACAATTATGAAAAAAAGAGATTCCTTGAAACCCAACTTTTCTTCTCAGTTTTGCTATTCTCTGCACCAAGCCATAATTCGTCAATAGGACAAGCGAAGTCAATCCTTCGACCAACTTTCTGCTGAAACGCTTGCGCTATCATTCTTCTTTCTGTCCTGGCCCATCTATCTACGCCTTATCTTCTTACCCCACTCCGGCCCTATCATAACTTCTGACTTGTTTACACTCCACTCATCATGTGGCGTGCTCCTTTTTGGCAAATCTAGTGTGGCCTCGTCACACCTGCTGTTCACCTTGGTCCCTTCTCACGATCGGCTAATCCGACTCAGGCCTTCTATTTGCATTACTGACTGTTGAACTTACTTCCATTTCGAGTGAAAGTGTTGGGTGAAGAAATTCGAAGGTCAGTTCCTTAAGACAACTAGTGAGGAAGAATCTGCCGTCGTCTTCTGGTGGAACCGACCTTCGAATCTCTTCACCCAACACTTTCACTCGAAATGATAATAAGCTAAACAGCCAGTAATGAAGTCTTTGCAATCTCTGTCACTCTCATATATTTAAATGGCGATACTACTGATTGCTGTTTCACATACTACTGAACTCCAAGGGTCTTTTGTACTATGCCTTGTGGGGGCGCCGAATTCGAGTAGATATACCATTTTTTATGATGCACATTAGTGATCTTATTCAGAAAATAGGTCTTCAAATTGTTCGTATGACAAAGCCCTGAGGCTATCAGAATTCTTACTTAATATTTACTGAAAATTTCGAAGCCCACTCTATAAAAATATAAGAGTTCTGTCAGTCTCTTATTTAAATGACACAATTATGACAAGCGATGCTACTGTTGTCGACTCACACTACTGAAGACAAACTTTTAATGGTGCACATTTGCAATATTGTGCCTGAAACTTACTGTCCTCTTCATGCCTTCCTCAGGTGATAGCCACAGACAGTGCTCCTGACGCCTATCGGCTGACTGGGACTGCATCCGTAGAAATCGAGATCGCCGACGAAATCGACGAGGCGCCCGAGATCACGGTACTCTTGTTGCAGCCCGACCGACCGCCAGCTGCCAGCCGCTTCGTCTTGTCCACACACGAGACAGACTCTAGTGGAGGCGGCTTCGCCAGGTCGTCGGGCCCATCGGGGTCAGGAGTCGACACAACCAGCCTTCATCCGGGCCCACCGACTAGAGCTGGATCCAAGCGTGGCCACAAAGCAGACGAACAAAGCCTTATGGTCTACATCCTGGAGAATCCGGTAGCTGGGATGCCCATCGCCTATGTACAGGTGAGTGTTTCGCCACCACCTCTTTCAACGGTTCCCAATAGCTTCGTTCTCGGCCCCAAATGGTAAACATACAATCCACTATCAGTCATGCTACCAGTTCCGGATTGTTACATCCAGCTCCAGCTTCGATGATCGGCATAGATGAACCATTTGACATCAGAATCAGTACAGTATTTGTGCTAAATGACTCCAATTTCGTTGAAGATGATGGAGGACTGGTATATGAATTTTCCCACAATGCTATGAATTTCACACAACCCTGCTTTCCAAAAAGGGGCTATCATCCAAGGTGGTCGAAACTGCAGTCCACTCTGGATGAGGACACCTTCAATGGAACCGTCAATTTACTCATAGCATTGTGGGAACATTCAACTACTGGTCCTTCATCACATACGAAATAGAGTGATCATAACTCATAGATCTGATTTGCCGGTAGCCTCGAAGACCTAAGCGAAACGAAATGAAAGCGACATAGGTTTTGAAGAAATCGGAGCTCTTGGAGTTCCCCGCGCCGCTATAAAATCTACTAATCCTGAAGAAGCCGCTTCATCGAAACTCCAATTACTGTAATAACGACTGGAGGTATAACTCCCTATTACCTCATGCAAAAATTAGAACGCGAATTACTCTACTCATCCTTACTGATAGTAAAAATTTCATTTGCCATTTATTTTTGGGGATGACTTAATAGCCCTTAGTGCATCCTAAGTATAGAGCTCTTCTTCCGAAGTTACAAACGTCGTGAGATTCGTGTAGTCTTTGGTGAAAATCGGTCAAGGTGATTATAACGTTTCTGTGAAGGTGACGGCTTCTGACCTATTTTCACAAACTAGTCAATTGCCTCTGGTTCAATTAAGTGACTACAACTAGGCAATCCTTTTGCATTACTTGCGAAATTCAGTAGATGAATGAAAGTAGGTGAGGCCGAAGAATCTCTTGGTGTTACTGTTCAACGAAAAAACAAAGTGATGGATGCAAAGGTGAATGAACAGACAGTTTTTAGGGGAGATAGATGAAGGAGAGCGTGTTTACCGGGAAGGAAAAAAGGGTGAATCGATGGTCTAGAAGAGGATAGACGGACACGAGGTTGGGTAGAGAGGAGGATTACGAAAAATATTTAATAGAGAATAGCCGTTGGGGAAAGATTCATTTTTACCCTATAAAAATAGATAAAATAACTAAAGTGCGATTTAAAATCTAGGAAAAGTGTGATTATTTATTTTAGAATTGGCTTGAGTCGTTTTTTCCTGCGATATACTTTTTTGCCATTGATTTTATTTATTCTGAGAGATGAGTTAAACTATAATTTGTTCGTATTTGGATAAGAAAGTAAGTTAAATTTTCAACTTTTTAAATCCTTTATGCTTCTTTCTTCTGACGAAGACTGCCAGGTGTCAATGGTTTATGCTTAAGACTGAGAAGAATATGCAAGAATGCAAGAATTTTGCGATCTAGTCAAGCCACTTTGGAAATCATTTGCATACAAGGGATTTACACAAAAGAGAATCACGAAGAGTAAAAAATTGTAGATATAGAATAAAGTCTGAATTTATAAAGACCAAGATGTTATGGCCTCTGGTATGGTCGCAGTCTCCTTTCGATTTATAGAAATGGGTTGACCTCGTTGTCGCAACTTGGTTG